AATGCTCTTGGTCTACGTAAATTTTGGATTGCCCAAGAACTTTTGGCTCTCCTTTATTTCTTCCCTCCCATTTTTTCTTCAATCTCAGCAGTTATTCACACAGTATGGGCTATCTCTTTTCATTTCGAATCCTTACTCTTTCCGACCAGGTAAATGCCATTTCTTCAAGTTATGATGTGCAAAGCTTTGCAAGGGAACACGGTCATTCTGCCGGTAGAACCAGGAGGATTGGGTTTTTCAGAAACTGGGACATTTACTCTCCGATGAGCTCCAATGTCTGAATATCATGCAACTATTATGAAAAGTAAGCATAGCCATGAAGCTCCAATCTCTTCTTTCTGGTCGCATTGATCTGTGACCACAACCATGCGCCCGAAAATGATGACAGGCGGAAGGATGACAAATAATAAACGTGGTGACTGAAGAAACGGCCGCCTCCATTGAATTATGAAGCAATACAATGACCGTGTCCACTTTTTTCTTATCTACCCATTGCTTTTCCCTGGCTTTTCTCATGCGATGATCCTCGTAATTTGATATGATCACTTTTTGATTGACATTGACTTGATTGACATTGACTAAAAATTAGACTTCATCTGGTTGATTCAGGGCGGGGGAGCGTATTTCGTGCATTTAGATACGCTATCAGACGTAATGAAATGAGGACCTATTTGTGGAAGAATGACAAGAAGAAATGTTTAGAGCATTTGGAAAGTTATGCGAAATTCACATAAACCCTGAAATTTGGCCAACTCTGCCTTGTTCCACCGTTCATATGCAAACACCGCTCTCCGACGTAATTTGGATAAATTTGGTGTGGTAGGCGTGGCTTGTCAAATTGAACCAGTTTTACCACACGATCATGGCAGGGGATTGGGGGTGGTGGAAGGCGGAGGATAGAATGTCTAACGATAAGTTTGTGCAAACGCCTCGGCATGGTCTGCTTAAAGGTGTGCTATATAATAGGACAACGCAGGAAGGAAAGATGTCTCTCCAGGTTAAACTCACAACCTGCACTCAAAAAGAAGAAAAAGGACAAGTAAAACAAAAACAGGCCGTTGTCTGAAAAGGTGCAAAACCATTTAGGAGCAGTGGAAACGGATACTGGAATTCCATTTGAGTTATTTTGTGAATATTATTAAATAATATTATTGTTATAATAGGTAAATGTTATGAATAAAATTCATGAGTGCTTTGCTATGTAGATATTTCGCGAATCATAACAAACCATTCTTGCCAATTTTACTTCCTTACTCAAGGACACGAAATATTCGCAGCGTTTTAAAGGAAGTATGGCAAGAACGCATTTCATTTTACTCATCGATTGGCTTGAGATTTGAGATTTAACCTTCTTGTAAAAAACGAACTGTTCCTTTCTATGCTTTTTTGTGGTCTCAGAGGTACGGACTGGCAGTCTCAGATGCTCCCAATTCAGGTTCGATTATTCTCTTCCTATGAAAATACACACACAATTCTCTACAAATAGGCAAGGCTTTTTGAACGTGGATTGATTCCGGAAAGTTTTTTAAAATTTCTCCTATCTTGAATTTGTTGTCCGAATCTGTCCGAAACTCTTCCTTCTCTTATCAGCAGAACACGGAGCTCATAGCGGAGTGAGTCCGCTGTGTGCAGCAAGACTAATTTTTTCATTAATTCGTGAATTTTTGATTCTTTGCTTATTCATAGATTTGGAATCCAGAAGAGTGAGCCAGTCATTTCACATAGGAAAACTCCTCAATCTATCACATTGCCTGAAATTTATGTCTCCATCTCTATATGTCTCTCTATGTCTCCAAGTGCTTCCGCTCACTAACTTCTGAACTAAGCCAATTTCCAACATGCTTTACAACTGATTATCCATTTCTTAAAGTTCGGAATATGTCTCCATATTCGGTAATGGTGACTGGTGCCAACCGTGGCATTGGCCTTGGTCTGGTGAAAGAGCTGCTCAAGAACAAGGAAATTCGTCATATAATTGCGACTGCCGCGATCCGACCAGCGCCAAGGTGAGTTTGAAGTAACAACATTACATGATACCAGCCCTCCCAACAACTCCAATAAAGTCGAGGACGCGCATTAAATTTTGATTATGAAGGGGCGCTAATATAGCTGTGGATAAGGTAACCCTGCCGCTGAGTGTCGCTGACAGTAAAGGGGCACAAAGGTGCACACGATCTGAGTTGCTGTATTGCTTATTTCATCGTGTTCGCTTGCTGGCTTGCTATTACCCTTATCTATTAGAGCTGAAGAAAATCAGACATAGATTTGACAATCGTCCAAGCTTGACAAGTGACTGCACGATTCCAAAGGCTTACAAGGAGGTTGGACGCTTTGCTGAAAACTTTTTGATCCACGGAATACATCATTGTTAATCTAAAGTGCTATACCTACATACTTCACAGGTAGAAAAAATCGTCGGCGACAAAGGTCTCACGGTACTCGTGAATAACGCTGGCATGTGGGTGAAGTATTTCACGAATCAAGAGCCCAATCGAGCCGATATCATCAAAAATTTCGATACAAATGCGGCGAGCGTGGCTGTTCTGACTCAGGTTGGTTGTTTCCGTTCTCAGCGTTTGGTTTTGTAGGTGTTGCACGCAGACGCTATTTGTGCATCCTTTAGTGCACAAAGCTACTTTTCAAAACTGATCAGGCCTTTAAAGTGCGCATATTTGTGAACGCTTGTTTGAAGATCTGATTGCTGGTTGTCCATGTTTGTGAAATCTGCATTACGTACTTGGACGTGATAAATCAAGCATAGACAATCTAGCCTTTGCTATGGTTACCGAAATGCAACATGAAATGAACTCAGCCGCCGCAAAAGCCCCGCGAGGGTTCGATGCAGATTAATTACTCCCAACAGAAGGGATACATAGAATTTCCTGAGCGGGCAGCCAGTAAGTGAGCGAAAGTGGTGAACTTAATCTGATAGTTTATATTGGGTCGTTCGCAGAAGTTTTTACGGTTCTTTGACCGTCAACTTCAAACCCAAATGTCGTAACTCGAACACAACGTCCTGAGCCGGAATAGAACGCTTACAATCTGAACTTTTTCGTCAATAAGTAAATTGCTCAAACAACTCGGCTGTTCAGAGCGCTGGATTTCCGAAGGCGTTGAGCTTGGCAATGCTAATTCACGATTATGCGGGGTTTTGAAGTACTCCTGAATAAACCTATCCAGTTGGTGGAAAATCGACACTCAGTAGGCAAGAGATTCAATAAGGAAATCCAGTGGCAGAGAACCAACGAGAAAGACGGTTGCCGAGAGTTTTTTAGTCAGGTGACATAGTTCAGTTTGTGCAAGAAAGGTTTTGCAATTTGCACCCGAGTCTTGGAGAACAGCCGTCACCTTCCTAATGACCATTGCTGATCACAGTTCTCAGAATTTTCAAATAGTTTTTACTTCTTGTTGATAGCGTTTTCCAATTTAGTATGTAGTTTTTGACGGACACAGGGAGCTGGGCCTGCCACGAAAAACACGAACAACAGTCGACCCTACTCCTCTCGCGCATTTTTAATTTTCAAAAATTCTGTAAGACCTTGACTGTGGTGGAAAAGCATCATCAGAGTTTTGACTGTTGCTATAAGGTCGTATGCTACATCGTACATCGCAACGCAGTAGAAAAAGAGCCGTTTCCTCACCGTAAAATGAGAAGAAGAAATATTTCACACCAAATACGGCTATTTGTCGTGGTGCCCACCTGTCGACTTTTTTTTTTCCGGCTGCTTCTCGTGAATTTAGAAGCTACGGATGACCTCCGCGTAATCTCGAAGCTAATCCTTCAACAGTTCCATGCAGATTTAGTCTGATCAGGACCTTCAGCCAATCATTGTCCATGTTCCAACCACCTTTTCCTATACCTTGAGTAATAGCTTGAGCCTCGAAGGTTTCTTATATCTTGAAGGCTCTCGCTGTCGCCACGGAACTTCTGGAATTATTGCTTCGCAGTACTTCTGATCTATGAGCTAGCATCAAGCTCATAGATGGAAGCGCTTCCTTCCTTCTCTGCTTCCCGGCATGATTTTAACAGGAACAAGAGGATCCAATCGCATTGATTTCAGTGCTTCCTGAGAGCGGCTGCAATTTGTTGTTGTGGTCGTTTGAACCCTTACAACTCACATGTGCACG